ATAAAGAACACAGTATATGGTTCTCAACACCCTTGTGTAAGTCTTCTGACTTCAGCAAGCTATTTTTTTCATTTAAACACCAAGAATGAATGGTATATCATTTTGACCTCCAGAGAGGGGCTGTCTAAGAACGAAACGACAAACCGCTAGAAAATGATCAGCACTTGCGGTGTGAAACGTAACTGCTTTGTGGATGACAGGCTTTCCGTTAGTATATAGACTTTACTATATCTGATGCAAGATCCACTTGTTGCGAAAGCCGGCGTTGCCTGAATGACGATTAAGGAATGTGAAAACTCGCAAATTATTTGTTTCCAAAGCAGTCTTAATAAACACACGTTTTCAACCCTCCAGCATTTTAAACTGTTTGTCTGTTCATAGTAGTATGACGCGTGGATTATTCCTTGTTTGTTACGATCTACCCTCAAACGTGATCATCGCAGTTATCTTTGGACAAATGTTTTACGGAAATCTATGTGTAGGGGAGTTTGAGTTTCGTTCATTTCAGAGGATTTGTCTGGGATGCTTCTTCAATAACTCGAGATACTTTTGAGTATTTGCAGATACTCACGGTAAAGATAAAGTGATGTGGCTCAAGAGTTCTTGAAAATTGTTTAACATAATATATATTACATGCATGAAAGTGCTTTTACTGATATAAAACTTGCAGAGTTAGGACTAAAAATAGTAGCGGCCCGAAGTTTACGTAGGAACGACTCTTTTGTTATGAATTTAGGATTAAATACAAAAGGATGGTCAAATCTAAAACTCCAAAACGTTACGAAGTTTATTCTGGCTCACTGCTTACATATAGGAGTCAGCTAGTGTGTTTTCTAGGTGATTCAACTTGTTGAAAAGATCTTTCTTCTTTTTCCAAACGTAGATTTCACTGAGCAGCTCGGGAATGACAAGGAATGTTTTCCAGTTGACTTGCTTCTTTGACTTGAGAATATCACCAAAGATGTGGTCACCAGTATAGAGCACTTCCTTACTGCGTGCACCAATGAGCTGACTGAAGACCTCACAGGAACCTGAAGGAGGGTGGAGCGGTAAAGCAAGAATTTTGATACTTCTGCCGAACTAATCTTTGGAGGTAGTATTTTGCCTATGATATTTAGTTGTGGACTGCCCCACTTTCGCGTGTTTCAGTCGATTCGTGGATCCGGCTTGATGCACGACTTGCACACGTGAACCTTAATCGGAAACGAATGTATTCGATCCACAACGCTCATAGGACGAATGTGCGGGTGTCTACAGTAGCGTTCAGTTAGGGAGAAATGTGGGGAGTTTAAGGGTAAAAAAGAGCCCAGACGCTCAGAAACAGAAACGGAAGTTAGTGCAGGCGCAAGCATTGAGCGTCAGTGCCCAAATCTTGACCCACGACAGATCAAGTGACAAAGAGTTGAAATATATAAGACGTTCATGTCCGCCACGGAGACCGTGCTACGAGTGCCACACTAAATTAACTTTATACAACGTTAGGTGCTGTGAGGCACAGCCCTACTCGCAACTGACGGCGTGATTGTTTACGTTTAAATTTCTAGACCGCAAAAAGCGGTCGCGTTTTCTTAACATTTCTATGAGCTGTCAAACGTTTCTGTACATAAACATTTGCCTAAGCTCGTCGAAAAAACAGCCAAAAATACCAGATACAAATGGCGCATAAGCCTACAACTACTTTGTGCACCCAGCTTTTCCAGTTAAGGACAAAGTTAGCTGTTTCAATAGAAACTGAATCGTCTGCCAAATGTGGTGTACCAGTTGTGATGCAGTCTATTGTGGCCGGACTGGAAAGTTGCTATCCACCCGTATACATCAACATCAGTTAGCGATGGAGAGACGGGACCAGCAATCTCGGCCGCTATCAGGCAACCACAGGACTCGAGTTCTCATGGAGAGACGAAAATCCAATTTCTCGTATAGTGCTTATAAAGCTCAACAATTAAACTGGATTGGTTATTCTATCGCCCACATGCCGACATCCTCCCGGCACGCAGCATTATCCCGAGTAAAGAACCTTATATCCTAAGAATAGCAAAGTAACGTCATTTACCTCATCTCATATGTTCCTCGCCGTTTTCGTTACATTTCTCATACTGGTTGACGAACTGGAACCCGTACAAACGTACACACCGAAGTGAACGCCTTGTCTCACGTGTTTGTGTACGTCATGAAGTGTGACCACTTTCATTCACGAAAGTGCTTATCTGAGGGGCATGAATAACGCTAAAAAGACACAGTGAAGTTCTCCGATCACGGTTTGCTGACTAGCGCCCAACATAAATACAAAAGCTGCTTATGCGTGTCCGAATATGAAGAATCGCACTGACACGCTATTCCCGTACATCCGATACGATGAATCACAACTGAAATTCACAACACGTCGCCTCCGCCCTTCTCCAGAGAAGTCTATATACCTGTCTATGTATCCCCTAAATCATCAGCGCGATAATTCCACCTGGTAATAGTTTATTACAGGTAGCACCACGGA